AGCGAGGGCGGAGGGGGGAGTGGGGGAGGGAAGGGGTTGCAGGGACGGGTGGAGGAGAGTAGGATGGGGGAGGGAAGGAGCTTGGAATTGGGGAGGAAAGGGAGGGAGGGGAGTAGGAATGGGGAGGGATGGGTATGGGACGGTTGATGTTTTTTTCTTTTATTTAAGCGGTTTATTTCTGCGGTTGCTTTTATTTATTATTATTATTTCTTTCCTTAGAGCTCTTTTCATTTATTTTCTTTTCCATATATAAAGATATTCTACAGCTTCAGGGGATTTTACTCCCAGGAGAGAAATTATAAGTTAGTTCCTGTGTAACGAAAGTCATTTATTCGTCGTGATGTGTAGTCACATTACACTCGCCCATCGAGCGTCATGTGACCTGTTATCCTTTCTAAGTAATTCTTGGCCTGGTTTCGAAGGTAGCTCGAGAGACACTTCATGGCCGCTGAAGTGGTCCTTGCCCGCCTGGGACTTCCGCTCCTTTGTGGAGGGTTTTAGACTTTAAGATTGGTATTTTATATCGGGTGTGTCGTTTTGTGTGTGTGTTTATATGTACATGTTGTACACAAGCGTGGGTGTACACTCAAGTATGCACACTCACTTATATGTACAGACGAACGCGCACACACACGTATGAAAAGTCCCGTTTCTGTGTATCGTGCAAAATGGCCTTTTTAGAAAAAATATTGTCATATTTTTACCACATTTTCTTCTCTTCCCGGAAGTGGAGTTAAGCCCCGCTATAAATTTAAGTGCAATTATAACCGAGGGAAGAAATGGTATTGGCTTTATCCGTCTGGGTTGAACTTCACTTTATTAGATTATACATGTGGTGGATCTCCTATAACGATTTTATCCTCGTTTCTGCGAAGGTGGCGGCTGCCGTGGTGTTCTGTGTCGTTCATCAGTCAGGGAATAACGGGTATTTATTTTCACTCCAGGAGCAGTGCCGGTGAATTACACTATGTGTAATTTCATGGATAATGGGCACGTGTTTTCTTCATTTTTTCCCATTTCTGCATTGCTTTGGGCAACGCCACTGGCGGCTTAGGGTAAAACATCTTTTTAATGCATAACGGGCAAGTATTCCATCGTTTTCTCACCCTTTCTCTACAGTGATGCGGGCAGTGGCGTAGGTAATTTACGGTAAACATCTTTTTGATGAATAACATATATAAATATCTTCATCCTTTTTGTTGCCGCTTCTGCAGTAATTCTGGTCGCCGTGTTGTACCTGGCTCTTGGCTCTGTTAGGTTCCATTATTCCACTGAATGCCAACGCGTAAGGAGACATGTTGACCGCCTGGGAGCACTATTTTGCCCAAATTGCCTTCAGGTGGGAATGGAGAGGTGCTGGAGGATGGGGGTGGATTAGGGGGGGGGGTGATGGATTAAGAGTGAGAGAGTAAGGGATGGGGGGGGGAGGGAAAGGGAGTGGTGGGTAGGGAATGTGAGAGGAAGATGGAGGAGGGAAGGAGGTCAGTGGAGAGAAGAGTGGGGATGGAGAAGGAGAGGGGAGGAAAGATGAGAAAGTTATAGATCCCCATGGCCCTCCCCTTCCCCCCGTTCCTCTCCCAACTTACTTACCTGTGTTCTCACGTTTAATGAAGTTGTCATCGTTTATCTCCTGAGACGATGCTGAGGACGAACTCTGCTATGTGAGGGTTCGTTGTCGGAGGGATGCTGTGTTGACGTGGGTTGAAGTCTGTCAGTCGTGGGTTGGGAATGTATACTGGCTGAGGATTATAATGAGCGCTTTTTGAAATAGATATTGTGACTTCATTTTTTCTTGTATTTGCTTTGTTCGTGAGGAAGTTAAGGGAGGGGGGGCATTATAAATATCATCAAATTTGATAGTCAAAAAAGAGAAAAGAAAGTGACAAATAAAATATATTTAAAAAATAGTACGTGATAAAAAAAGAATCCTGAAAATCGATAATCAGAAAAAGAAGAAACATGAAAAAATGGATAGTTAAAAGATATTAATAATACTATTTTTATATTTATTGTTATTTGATTTTAAAGAAAAAAAAACTACCTTAGAATTGTCATACTTCGAACCTCTCCCGCGGGCCAGAATTGCAGCCTCCGAAGACCGTTAAGTTTCGCGTCGTGCGTCGGAGGTTGATATCGCTGCGTCGGACCGGCCAAGAAGACGAGTCACGAGCGGATTGTGCGGTCGGTCTGTCGGTCGGTCGGTCGGTCGGCGGGCGGTCGGGGAGTGTGACATCGCCGGTGTCGGATTTCCGCGGGAGATGAGCCTGACTTCTGTTCGATTGCGTCGCGTGGATTTCTCCCCTCCACGCCTACGCCCGTCGTTTGGTTTCGGGCGTCTCCCCTTTAACGCCTTTCGTGTCTCCTTTACGCCCTTCGTCTCCCAATTATTCACTCTTCCTCTCCACGTCTCTTCCTTTCATCCGTAGTCCCTACACCTGCCTTCTCCCTTTTTCCTTTTCCTTCCCCTTCCCATCTTTTCCTTCCCCTCTCCTCCCCTATTTCAGCTATTCCTTCCTACCCCTTCCCCCTTCCCCCTTCCACCCCCCCTTTCCCCTACCCTTCCACCCCGTTGTTCTCCCCGTCATGCTGGCGACGACTCTCACGCTTCAGGGGCCGCCGCCTTGTGCAATTATGACAAGTGTCACGCGGACGCAGTTTCAGATACGAAAGTTCGATTTATGTAGGTTCATTTTATTTTGTTTGTTATTGTCTTTCTTTTCTACACACACGCGCGCGCGCGCACACACACACACACACACACACACACACACACACACACACACACACACACACACACACACACACACACACACACACACACACACACACACACACACACATATGGTATGTTTCTCTCCATTTTTTCGTATTTTTGTCTTTGTCAACAGCGCTTTTTTTATTTTTTTTCCTGTTTTCGTTATTCTCTTTTCTCTCTTTTTTCTACTTCCATTTTTCGTTCTCTTTTATTAACACCTCGATATGTCACCCACTGTTGCCAAGGACGAGGAAATTGGTATTCGTCATGGTCCGAGACTGCGCGTGTGTGGCCTTCAGCGTTTCCACGCTTGATGGCAACACTTACGACTTCAGATAAAAATGCTCAACAGTTTTTCATGGGTATGATTTGCACGAGTTATATTTGCCTTCTTGCGTACGACGGGAAACGTTCGGATGAATTTCGGTCGGTGGATTGTCGAAGTTTTTTCTTTCATTCTTTATTCCTTTCTTTCTTTCTTTCTTTTTTTTTTTTTTTTATCGCGCAGCTAATCTTTTCGTTAGCTTGATATTTCGAGGGAATTTTTCTGAAGCAGCCTTTGCGAACACTAGTGTAGCGCTACGATAATGGGGAATGGGGTGGTCGGGGGAGGAAGGGGAAGGGAAAGGGGATGGGGAGGGAAGAGGATAAAGAGGGGAAATGGGATAGGGAGTTGAGTGGGAAGGGGAAAATGGGAAGGGAAAGGGAAGGGAAGAGAAGGGAAAGGGGATGTGGAGGGAAGGGGATAAATAGGGGAAATGGGATAGGGAGTTGAGTGGGAAGGGAAGGGGATAAAGAGGAGAAAGGGAAAGGGGATGGGAAAGGAAGGGGATAAAGAGGGGAAAGGAAAAGAGTATAGGGAGTTGAGTGGGAAGGGGAAGGGTAGGGGAGGGAAGGGAAGAAAAGTGAAGGAGGAGTAGGAGGGGAAAGGGGGCATTGCCAGAGCGGAGTATGGGGCAGGCCCGGGGGGGGGAGGAGAGAAGGGGGAGGGGTGAAGGGAGGCGGGGGTTTGGCACTGACCTTCGAAATTAGATCGTGGAGGACACAAGCGGGTTACGAGGCGGCAAGTCCGAGCAAATTACCAGAATGAATCGTTGAGTCCCTACGGCTCCGGATTTCTTGAGGTCTTGAGTGCTTGAGTTTGACGTCCGAAGGTGCTCGAGTTCTTGAGTTCTCGAGTTCCTTGGTTTCTCGGGTCTTTCAGTTCACGGGTTCCTGGTTGCTTGGGTTTATGAGTTCTTCAGTTCATGAGTTCTTGTATCTTGCATAGAGGGAGTGTTACGACCTCTGATGCATCGTCTGTTGGCAGGTGAGGTTGCCATCCCTCCCCCTCCCCCTCCCTACTATGACCTCCTCTCTTCTCTCTCCTCCATTCTCTTCCTTCTCCTCCCTTCTCTCTCCCTCCTCTCCTCCCTTCCTTCTCTCCCCTCATTCCTCTCCTCCCTCCCTCCTCTCCCCTCATCCCTCCCTCTCCTCTCCCTCCTCCCTCCTCCCCCCCTTCCTCTCCCTCATCCTCCCTCCTCCCCCTCCTCCTCCCTCTTCCCTCCTCTCCCCTATCCCTTCTTCCCCTTCCTCTCCCTCATCCCTTCTTCCCCTCCTCTCCCACCTCCCTCCTCCCTCCTCTCCCCTCCTCCCCGCTTCACCAGCACTCCTCTGCCGCACAGGATCGATCAGCTCCGTGCTCTGCCCTTGTTCCGCGTGTACTCCAGGCCAAACATTCATGCTTCGTCATCCTGGGTGTAATTTAGCCGTAGAGTTTTGTTGTTTACTTGTCTTGTCTGTGGTAAGGAAACGGTTTTTTTATGTCGCGAGTGATTGGGTTTCTACTTATTGTTTTTTCTGTTGATTTTATTGTTGGTGGTGTTTGTTATTTTGTTGGGATTATCATCATCGTCATCATCTTCATCTTCTTCATCTTCATCTTCATCTTCATCTTCATCTTCATCTTCATCTTCACCACCGCCATCATCATTAACAAAAAGAACACTATACCTTTAGGTTTATCGAAAGATGAGACCCGGATTCTTGCCATCCACCTATATCATTATTGTTTTTATTGGCATCAGTATGTTATCGATTTATCTCATTAAGGGAAAGTATATAGCAAATTCCTCTTTATTTTTTTCTTTATCTTTTTTCCCTTTCTTGACAAAATTATTTCATGGCGTTATTTTTATTTTTTTCTGTTTTTTGAAATTTGTTTTTTTTACTTTCTTCCTCTTCATTTCTTCTTCTTCTTCTTTTTCTTCTTTTTCTTCTTCTTCTTTTTACTTCTTCTTCTTCTTCTTTTTCGGGTTTGATTTTATCGGTCCATTTATTTTCATTCTTCGCGCTCACTCCCTCTCTTCATTCTCCCCTTCAATGTTTTCTATATTCCCTTCTTCTTCTTTGTTTTTTCCTTTCTTTCCTCTTCTTTCTTGGACATCCCTTTCCCTCCCTTCTTTTATATTTTCTTCCTTTTCCATATTTTCCCTTCGCTCCTATTCACGTAGAATACACGTAAATTCTTCATTGGTCCCTCCCTTCTCTCTCTGTCCTTCCTTCCTTCCCTTCTCTCTCCTCTTTCTCTTCTCCATTTCCTCCCTTTATCTTTTCCTCCCTTTCTTCCCTCTCTCCCTCCCTCCCTTTTCCATTTCGTCGATCACCTGTTGGACGAAGTTGTGGTGGAAGGAAGGATGATGGAATGCATTCGGTTTCGGATGGGTTGCCATGGAGCTTTCTCTCTCTCTCTCTCTCTCTCTCTCTCTCTCTCTCTCTCTCTCTCTCTCTCTCATATATATATATATATATATTATATATATATATATATATATATATATATATATATGAACATACATACATACATATATATTTTTTTTCTCACTCTCTCTTTATTTCTGTATTTTTATATCTCTCCATTTATCTCTTAATCTCTCTCTCTCTTTCTGCTCTCTCTCCTCTTTCAATTTATCTCTTTCTCTTCTCTCCCTCTCCCACTTCCTCTCGCCTTTCTACCCCTCTCTACCCTCCCTCTCTCGCTCTTCTTCTCTCTTTCTCTCTCTCCTCTCCTTTTCAGTATCTGTCAAGAGATTTTATGGCCATTTGCTTGCTCGTGCGTGTGATGTGACCGATGCTGACCTTGTACAGCATACAATGATGCAGCCTCGCGCGGTGTGGTCATCCGCCGGGAGAACGAGGTGAGCCTCATGGCGTGCTGTTATGAGGTAGAATCACGTCTCTCGTGTCAGTCTCTGATGTCAGAGCGGTCACCGCAGTATTGTCACATCACAGCGCGAGTTGCAGAGGTGACGTAATGTGCGTGTCTTGATTCGCGCGTTTAGTTTGTATGACGCTAACGATTGGTTTGGAGGGTCGGCGAAGGGTGGGAGGGTGGGGAGGGGGGGGGCGCTGTCTGAGGGTGGGAGATGCATGATGAAATTTTTGATGGAAAATGTGGAAGAAAGAGAGAAAAGGACGATTTTTCGGTCGAAATTAAACGGTATAGAAACGGAAATAGCCATGTTAAGAGAATAAAAAGATTGGGTAAGGAATATCGAAATGATTATGAAAAAGTACAAGATATAGTAGAGAAGATATTTATTTATCACGCATAAAGGAACGAAATAGAAACATAAAAAAACTCACAAATAATATGCATTAAAGATGTACAAAGCGATAGATGATTTTTTAAAAGAATGTAGAAAGTGATGTTTATAGAAACATTTTACATGAAATACGGAAAGGGGGGAAAAAGAAAACATTTTATCCCTGAGTGTTTGTTTATTGAGTGAAACGAATGGACATTTTTTTTCTCACACATTTTAGCGATAAGGCAATGCCACGGGCGCTTATGGATTGCTCCGGGCGAAAGAGGAAATTTGGATCCACTTTAGACCATAGAGTTTTTTTGTTTTTTTTTTAGATTTTAGATGTTAGTTATAATTTTCGGGATTATTTGAATATTTAGGAATTGCGTAAATGATTTTATGATACCTAATAAAAGCTAAATAATTCATATGCGGGTTTGTTAACTTCCTTATTAAAAAAAAATGGTGAACTTACTTTCTGCTTTGATCTTTATGTAAGGAAGGAACAGCTAAATATTTGCATTCGGTGAAAATGGAAGCGAAGGCAAATCATCTCGTTTTCTGCTTCACGGGAAAGAAGGACTTGGCTGCAGTGTTCACTATTTGTTCACGCTCCTATAACTTGTCTCTTTAACCCTCCTCTTCCTTCTCCTCCTCCTTCACCTCTCTCCTCCTCCTCCTCCTTCTCCTTCTGCTTCTTCTTCTTCTTCTCCTCCTTATCTTCTCTTCTTCTTCTCCTCCTCCTCATTTTCTTATTCTCCTTCTTCTTTCTAAGCATCATCATCATCTTTTTTTCCTTCTTCTCCTACTCTTCCTCTCTCAGCCTTGCCTCCTCTACTTTGCTGGTACCGCTGGACGGGTGCCAGGACTTCCCTTGCCCCCTCCTCCTTTTATCCTTATCCCTTACCCTTTACCCTGTGCCCCATATTCCTTACTCCTTCTCTCTCATCCTGTGCCCCTTATCCCTTCTTCTTACCCCGTATCCCCTTATCTCTCTCTCCTTCTTACTCCCTATCCCATTTGTCTTCCTCCCTCCCTCTTCCCCTTCCACCCTCTCTTCCCCCTCCACCCTCCTTCTCCTTTCCTTTCCTCCTTCCTCCTTCCTCCTTCCTCCTTCCCCTTCCCCTTCCCCCTTTCCCCCTTCCCCTTCCCCTTCCCCCTTCCCCTTCCCTTCCTCTG